TTTACTTACCAATATTCGCTTGTGTTGTCATATTGCACTCGCGACCGCTTCATCGGGTGTTGTGGCTATTAACATGCCAGGGGAGAACAACTCACCCTCACTTTAAAATTCCTATCAATCTTGAAAATAACTTCGTCTTCAAGATTTCAAGACAAAGTGGTACTGCTCAACTACTTCAGATTGTAAAAGTAATCATTTGGGACGAAGCGTCAATGGCTAAAAGACATGCATTGGAGGCGGTTGATCGTACAATGAAAGATATCACTGGGGTGATGCTCATATTTAGTGGAAAAATAATGGTTTTGGGAGGTGATTTCAGACAAGTGTTGTCGGTCGTTAGACGTGGAACACGAGCACATACTGCGGATTCTAGCATACAAATGTCGCCTCTTTGGTCTTCGATTATCGAGTTGCGGTTAACTATATATATGAAATCACTAACCGATCCATGGTTCTCAGAATTTCTATTACGTGTCGGTGATCGAGTTGAAGAAACGGTGCACGAAAACTTTATTCAAATCCATGATGATATGGCAATTCCCTTCATTAAAAAGAAAATTCGTTGAATACTTTGATTGATGCAATCTTTCCATCCTTGGAAATTAATAAATCTGAACCAGATTATACTATTTTGCGTGCAATACTATCCACAAGAAATGATAGTGTCGATGAGATTAATGATTATTTGATCGGCCGATTCCATGAAGAAGGGGGAATTTACTATAGTTTTAATGAAGTCGTAGATGATATAAATAACTTCTATCCCGTGGAATTCTTGAATACACTCAGTTTTGGGGGTTTTCCCCCTCATTACCTAAGACAGAAAGTTGGATGCCCGATAATACTGTTACGGAATCTCAACCCATCAAATGGGTTGTGTAACGACACCCAACTGATATGTAAAAGTTTTCAGCACAGTGTCATTGATGCTGAAATAGCTGTTGGTCAACATATTGGAAAGAGATTATTTTTGTCAATGATTCCTCTAAGTCCGTCTGAAGATGACATGTTCCTCTTCAAGTTGAAGAGAAAACAATTTCCAATTTGATTATGTTTTGCGATGACAATCAATAAAGCTCAGGGATAAACAATTCCAAATGTAGGTATTTATCTTCTGGAATCGGTTTTTCTCGCATGGCAAACTTTATGTGGCATTATCCAGAGGGATATCACCTGCTAATACAAAAGTATTAGTGAAGTCTGGCAAACAATATAGTGAAGTCTATACATCAAATGTGGTGTATAGAGAAGTGTTGCACGATTAATAATGCACAATAAATCATGTGTGCATGTGCATTTTTAAAGAATGTCAACTTTTCATTTTTAATTTTTATTGATTTCGTTTCTGCTAACAAGACTCTTATGTTTAATTGTTTATAAGCAGTAACTATTTGCGTAAAAGAACTAATCATCTCTACAAACTAGTTTCTGAATAAAATATTCGCACCCGAAGTTTGGCGTGGGTAAATGGCTAATATATATATATATATATA